GTTTAGTTTGCTAATATAAACCTAATCCCGAGTAAATCTTAATGCTTTGCATCGGCTGTACCGCGTATACAAATACACTCTTTTTATACTACTACTATAAAACTAGGCCTTTTCTAGATAGAAGCAAGGACTAGGCCTAGATGGGACGATGATGGAATGGAACTGCAGGGGTAAGCCCAGTCGGCTGGCGTTCGGACGGATGGTAAACAAGCCTAGGTCTATATAAATTGCCTTCGGGAGATGGAGTTTTTGAGTGTTTTGTAAAAATAAAAAATAAAAAAAAATTCAGGTCGGGGGCTTTTCTGACGGTCGGGCGGGGATGCTAACCAATTGTTTTATTTTACGTGGCCTTATGTGCACTTCGTTGAGGTTTGCTTACTTGAATGGACTGAAATATACAATTCTTAATTCTTCCTCTATACAAAAATATTTAATTTTATTAGTAAAAATAAAATACCCAAGGATTTGAACGGAATACCCAAGAACCCAAGACCAAGTCAAAATACCCAAGATTGGGTATACCCAAGCAGTGGTCATGCTGGGCTGAATGTTTGTAAGAAATGTACCAACCGTTAACGAAACCGGTCGCCGTCTACCTAGAGTAAATGGTGCCAGCAAACGAAGCTAAAGTTTTGCGACTTAATCCACCACCAAATGCAGATAAAGTTTTGCGACTTAATCACCTGATTGTGTGGTTAGTAAATTCCATAGCCATACTGTCCATAGCGCACACTAAACTATGTGCTGTTGGAGCATTTGGGGGAAATTGACTCTCCTTTTTCCATCCCAAACAAAATATAATTAATAAATTAACATGGTCCATCTCTGTCACGCCAGTCACAAAATTAGGCTAGGAAGTTTGTTTTAAACAGCAGACTCACACTACAGAACGGAGTGCGTCAAAATGAGTGTTTGTTAATTTTTAGTGATAAAGAATCATGAAACGTCCTAGAATAACTGACTTTTTTCCGTCCGCTGTTGCAAAGAAGAAAACGACAGATAGTCCTTTAAGGTGGGTTATTGATTTCAAAATCAATTAGCCTATAGCCTAGATGTTGACTGCTAGGTTCGCTCCTCGTTCATTTAGAGACAGAATTATACCCCGACGACAACAAACTAGTGTAGGCCTAAGTACAGTAGGACGTAATAATAATAATAAAGATTTATAAAGCGCACATCTCCACCAAAGGTGCTCAAGGCGCTATTACTATACCTATAGGTACTAGGCCTAGGCTTTTGTTGTAAAAGTTGAAGTGCATGTACAAAATGCGCCATAGGCCTATATTTAAAAAAAAAACATTTTGTTAATTATTATTGGTTGGCCTGGGACCGGGGCAGGCAGGCCAGCTTTACCGTCGAAAGTCCTGGAATTCGACGATGACGTCAGTGCACGTTTACAAACGCCATTGATTAGAATGAAAATAGACGCGCTGAATTTCGTGGTTTTTTTTTTTTATGAAAGATAGAATTTATCGAACATTTATCTATATAAAAACAAGATTAATATTGTAGAAATTGTATTTCTAAAGATGCACTTAAAGATGCACTAGGCTTTGATTCAACCTATATCTTGTGAGTTCCTATGTCGAAAGAAACCATTAATAATTTTAAATTATTATGCCGAAGGCAATTAGTGTTTCTCCCTCTGGATGTGTTCTCTGAAAGGACCTATCAGATGCTCAATGCCTTCTCTGCCACTGCCTTCAATCAATTTTGTCTGTTGTACTCGTGACTACGAATTTCAATTCTACTATTATTCGGTCATTGTGCATAATCATCATGCGTAAAACCTCAATACGCAAAAGGAAAATGATAATATGATACAGATTTGAAATTAAATACCAATTATACAAACAATCAAATGCATTTCAGTGTTACTGCTTCATTGGATCGATAACATACATAGCAAACTAGCACAAAATGCAATCTAATTGATTGAAAATGGAAATTGTAGCAAGAAAAATATATTTTTTCATTCATGGTTGTGTCTTCTTAATAATGTGACCATTATAAGTATTTTTTTTATAATAATAATAATAATAATAATAATTATTATTATTATTATTAAAATTAATATAATAATAGTAATAATAATAATAATAATAATAATAATAAATTTATTTTGATATAGCGCAGAAGGATATACATCATCTATGCGCTTTACATTAAAAACAAAAGCCAGAACAGAATTAAAAGAAAAGATGATTAAAACAGCGGGCGAAAATCTTTTGCAATCAAAACAAAAAACAGGTTAATTTTATAATTAATTGAATGTGAAGTGCTGTTAAAATATCATTTTGAACTTATTAATGCTGCTTCAACACTATGATATTGGCGGTAAGAAATAAATTATTCTCATTGAAGTAAGATTGCAGCTGTCTTGATGCAGCTCTTTCGATCAGTTTCCCGAGGAAAGGAAGATTAGAAATAGCACGGTAGCTAGAAAGAAGATAGCATTGTACTTTTTTTTTTTTTTTTTTTTTTTTTTTT